CGTTTTGACGAGAAGGCAGGTTTTTGTCTGGATTCTTCCAGAAGATCATAGGAATGTATGTCTCGCGCGGTGACAGTTGCCCACAGCCCCAAACCGGAAGTGCGCCCAACGCGCCACCACCGTGGCGTGACGTAACAGAGTTGAGTACGTGTATACGCAATATTAGAAATCTGTAACAGCTGATCGGGAGTAGGACCGGAACACACTCGTCCCTTCCCTCGCTTCGGTGCTGCGCGAAACAAAACAAGTCCGGATTCCGTCCGATCGTCGTGAAGTGACTGTCCCGGACACTGTCGATTGGATAGATGCTGGGTTATTGAAGATCGTTCTCAAATAGACCACTTCGATAACGCGGCAGCGTGGAATACGTCCAATATGTCGTTCGATTGATGAGACCCGTTCAATTTCACGTTGTAAGCGGGGAGTACACGTGTCTTTCGGCCATCTTTCAAATATTTTCGAAAGTGAAGACCTCTTTAGATGGACAGGGCTGAGTGTATGGCGACGTGAAAAAAATCTCCATAAAATTAAACGTGTCTCTCGAAGTAGCCGCAAATAGCTTAAATTTGTTTTTGTTTCGAAAGATGGCACAGAGCCCTCTCAAAAGCCTCTAGAAACCTTATTCGTAACAAAACACAAAAGAAACAATAAAACAGAGCAATTTAGCCGCCACCAGCGTCCTGGGCAGGCTGCCGCAGCCCACCGACGAGAAAAGCCCATCGCAGTCGGGCAACGCTGACTCCCGAAGCCAGGGGCTGTACATCGCTTCGTTCGAGACGGCCGCTGAAAGGGAAACCACCCCTCCTGACGTCATCACAGCGAACGCTAGAGAGGAGGTCGCCTCCACTCCAGCCTTTGCTCTCCTAAGGTGAAAAGGGATGGGAGGAGCATCACCGACTAACCTAAAAATAAAAGGTTGCTATCCTTGTTCTCCATGTTCGTAAGACGTTCGGATACACTTCCAAATACCCCGTACGAGTGTTGATCTGCATGCAAGGGCAAAACATGCCTAAAATATCGATAAAAGTTGGATTGTGTTTTGAAACTCCCAGTGCACATCACGGAAAATGGAAGGGAATCGTTACGAAAAAATGGAAATGGAAGGATGCTCGATAGACGTCACAGGAAATAAAACGTACCACCGGAAACATCCCTTTTTATTCGTAAAAAAAAAGGTAAATAAGACGATGGACAAAACGAGATTGCTGCTTTCAAAGGGATAAAAGCTATTTCAAACGAATTTGTTTAGGCACTAAAATAATGCTTCACCGGCGGATAGTTTTGAAACGACCCGCTTTCACTGTCTCGTTTCCCGACGGCCAGGCACGGGGAACCGGCCACGAGCAAGCGCCTGCGTGCACACATCATCGCTAGAGCGACAGTGTGTTGCTGCCCTCATTCTGGACGGCGACCTAAGCGGCCAAGTCTGCTACCCAACAAACTCCGAGATAAAAGCGGCCATGTCGTGTTCGCGCTCAGAGGGTTTTCCCGCCTTGACAACCTCAAACTTTGCCTCGAACGCAGTATACATCCTGGTAAGTATAGCGAAGAAAAGCTATCGTAAAAACACTACAGAAATAAGTGGGCGTCGCTGTTTATTCGAGTCCCGATGGCTGCGGCCGCGAAAACCTGAAGCTGCGGAAAGGCGAAAGAATGAATCAACGGGACAGACGAGCAGAAAAGCCCTTTGTGCGAACCAAGCCAAGCGGCACGCACAGACATCACGTGAGCGAGATCATTCCACGGCTCGCCAACGCAGCGCCGTGTCTGCCGTCGCCTCTCCCCGAAGGTCGCAAGTACGCAAAGATTCGATTGGGAACTCGATGAGCCCCGAATTCTGACGCAGCGCTCGAACCCCAATCTCTCAGGAGTGCTCCATCAGTTGGACCGTTTCGTCCACATATCGTGGACATGCGGCGGTTCATCGACACTTGCTTTCATCGTTTTATACACACGCGCCTTGAGACTACTTTCCACACACAACGGCATCCTGCTGGTAGCCCTGGGCGGTTCCGACCAAGCCTGGCCTAAACTCCAGACTCGTTTCTTTTTCCCGGAGCGGAGCGAAGCGAGAGCTGATCACGCGGTCTCTTTGCAAGCTCCAAGATTCATTCATCGGAGCTGCCTGCGCGACTCTGCCAGTGATTCCGATCCACCTAGCAAAAAAATATATATTTTGTAGACGAAGTATCGCCGAAGTCAGCGAGTTTCCACGAACTATCCCTCGACGAAACGTGCGTCCACGAAACGGGTCGATGAAAAGACGTGTTTCCACGAATCACTATGCGACGAAACAATACGAACCCCCGGCTTGGTCCGTTTCCCCCTTAGAATCGCAAGCCTATCACCCAACTTACGGCAGAAAGTTCTCGGTACCAACCTAGCAGGTAAAAATTGGAGCCTCTTTGGAAATGACTGCGAAAAAGCAGCGATGTCCTGTTCCCACTAACTGTACAAACAGACATGTGCACAACTGACACGCCTGGCAGGTGACATGACCTGGCGTGCCTGAGAGCTTTCCTCGGCCCTTATTCAAACCATCGATTTCCTCTTTAATAAAACAAGCCGTTTCAGGGATGCTTTGCTGCAGACTACGTCGATTGCATTTTAACCTTTCTTTTATGAAGGCCATGTTGAAACTGAGACTCGCTCCCTCATCTATCGGTCGCTGACGAAAGATGCCCACGTTTTGGCCTCTGATTGGCAAGAAAACCAGAACACTTCCAGCAAGCTTCTATGATAGATCGGATGATCTAATTAATGGTATCAACCATACCCCTAGTATCGGGCGGTAGCTTGCACCACCTGGCCTAGAAACCATTACAACCCCTCCCCTTTAAATTTTGTTATAAACTGTGCCGCTCGTTAAATCGCCGCCACCTTTTAACCTTTTTTTTTTTTTTTTTTTTTTCCTGTGATTGTAATTTTTCGTTTCTCCGCTCTTTTAAGTTCGCCAGCCAAGCCCAATCCTCCCGCCAAATTCGTGACTCCTTTACAGAGAGCAGGACGAAGCCACTTCAAAACCACATGTTCTAGCGTTCCACTTTCACAATGGCATACGGCACGTATGTGTCTCTCTTTTGAAATTTAGCCCTATATCCTTGCGTCCTCGACACTCCCGTTCTCGCCTCAAACAGTAAACAGCTTCCCCGTGAATTATCAAACTCCTTTTCTTTTCTTTTTTTTTTTAATGTCCTGTTTTTGTGACTTGCACATTGATAAAGCTAATATCTCTTTCATCCTCTCCTTCATCATTTTTGTATGCTCCCTTAACTCTTCTTTCCCTGAACTAGTGTGTAAGCATTTATTTCCGGGTTCGAATCGTTCATCTCGTGTTATTATTTTTTTTTTTTTTTTTTTGTGTGTATAATTTTCGCGCCTGCCACGTATCTTCAGTTCAACCTCGCTCAAATTTCGGCCAGCCCGTGTCGCCCTCATTTGGGGTCAGAGTTGCGGAGTTTGCCACTCTGGAGTTGCCACTAAAGCTTGAAATCCACACCACGCTGCCAGCAAGAGTCGAAAAGTAGCGTACGTATAAGTCGCCTTACTAATTAGCTTTCGGGATAACTTACCTAGTTGCATTTGTTTTAGCAAAATCTTTGACCACTACTCCCAGAAAGCACCGTGTAGTGAATTTGAGCCCCGGCTTTGCTATAAGTCAGCACTGGAAAGCGAACAACCATTACTCGGCAATGCCAGCACACATCGCCATCATGGGATATATTTTTTGTGCGAAACTACAACTCGATCGTTCGTAAAAAAGGGTGTAAATGGTATTTGACTTACTTATGTTGGGGCCAACATAAGTCTAATTCAATTACTTTTCGCACGAGAACTTTCACAGCTCTGCTGTCAGCAACGCAACCTCCTAGCCTCTGCCCTCTTCAAATACATTTACCCGTAACATGGCGTTCATTCCATAACCGAAATAAGCAGATGTGCCCAACAAATCTTCGTTTCAATTTTTTTTTTTTTTTTTTTTTTTTTTTTTTTAGTGTGTGAATAGAAACTAAGACACAGCATAACGCCGCTTGTAAAGGGGCTTAAAAGGTCAAGGAAACGAAACTTTGCATATTATTCTGATATGATGTCCACCGCCTGAGAGCTATTCTATGCTTCTTTTTTAAACTTACTTTAAGAAGCGGAGGGCAGGCGCAGCTTTAATCGGGGCTGGGTTTGGGAGAGGACACGCTGTCCGTGCGTTTGACTTCATTGCCACAGAAAATTGCACAGGTGATAAAATTGGAACAGCCGGCATCCCTGTCGAAGGCCCTGTCGTTCCAGGCAAAGTCCTAAAGTCCCCGAGCTGGAGCATCTCAAGCAGGTTCATAAAGCAGCCAAAGAGGTGCCTGATCCAACCTAGCGGTCGGAGACGCGCACGGCTACTGCTTTTGGAATGAAAATAAATCGCGGTGTGTTGCAAACGTTCTCACTAACCAGCCTACTCTCGTGATCCCCGCAAGTCCAATGTGCACTAGACAAAACGCGCAGGTGAACTTCCACAGGTTTGTTTGTGCCTTCGTTGTACAAAACTATAAAGTGAAGTCGTCCGTCAGGGTTTTATCAACTTGATTCCAACTTATCTATTTGCGAGCCCTATTCTGTGCAGTCTCTGACAGATGCGATGGAATAATAATGCAAAATCTCCGGTCTAGGAGGATCGGCGAGACATGGCTACTCCGGTGTCACATTCTCGATCAAGACGAGGATGGCTTATCGTTAGGACGGGAGTGTCGGTGAAATCTAAAGTCACGTGGCGAGCATTCAGAAATAAAAGAACAGTAAGGCTCGAGAATAACCAAATTAGGACCCTATAATGCCGGTCGTGGTTAGGAGACCGCCTTTGAAGGCGCATCGACCGGGTTTCCATCCCGTGGTGGGGTCGGGTGCTTCGCGATCGCGCTCTGGAGAGAGTCGCCATTCAAAAACGTTCTCATCGCCGCTGGGGCGTCAACCGACTGTCAGAAAACGTAGCAACCGACAGCGAGGATCGAACTTACCTCGTTGAGAACTCAAAGGGTCCGTAGATCGGCGTCGACGTGCAACCGCAGTAAGCCTAAACAGCCGAGATGGTCGCACACCCAGCCCCTCGGCGGGCGGTGTTGCTGGTGTCACGCGGAAACACAGATACAGGCAACTCCGGTGTCACCCCTGGAGGAATGGCTGGCTCGCGATGCACGATGGCCGGTAGCGCGTCGATCAAAGTAAAAACTTCACGCCCAGCCTGCAACACCCCATAGTTCGCGTTGGAAATCCTCCAGGATGATCGCAAAATGGCGCTGAGCGAGTCGGCTGGCAGACTGGCGGCTGACAGCGGCAGATGAAAAAAAAAAAAAAGGTAGATCGGTGGCGCCATCTCTCGTTATTAGGAGACAACTCTTTTCCTGTCGCTGTCAGAAGCACGTGGTCGGAAGCCATGCCTGTCGGTAGCTTCCAGGAATGAACGAGTCGCCGTTTCGTTTTTCAATCTGTTCCCCTGTTCCCCGTGCGTGCCTAGACGCCGGCGCGTCGCCTAGGGCACTGCACCGGTCCGCTTTGCTGTCCCGCATTGAGGGCTCGTGTCCCGCGTTTCGCGAGAAATTCCCAGATCTTTCAAATGTTCCGCGTTTCCCGCTGTCGTAAGATTCACTCTGTAATTCACGGTGCTGCCGAACAACGGGGCACGGGGAAGCGCGGAGGTCGCTGGTAATCGTGGTTATCGAAATGCTACGCCATTTCTAGCCAAGCATTGCGGGAAGCGATGTTCGTTCTTGCAGGAGAGCGTCGCGCATGCGCCGCTATGCCTCTCCCCTTGGTGGCAAAATATTGTAAGAAAAATTGCTCGTCAAACGTTTAATTATAAAATATTGTAATTATTTTCAAATCGCTGTGTCAATGCAAAAAAAAGTTGCTGTATTTCTTTAAGACAATTACATTTGCAACGGTCGAAAAGAACATAATGTTAAATATTTGTATAGGACCCATGTTGAAAAAAAATAAATAAAATAAGCGTTGAAGGAAGCAATAACCCGAAATATATTTACTGTTTCTTGTTTTCATCTGATGCATCGAGTTCTAAGACAGTCGATTTTTATGTTTTCAACTTGAACACATTTAATAACCATATTTGACATAAAAAAATATATCACTGAGTGAAAATTATTTGAGCTCAACTGCTACCAGCGTGTTAACAAATTTTCTCAATGCTGGCGGCTAAATTGCCGCGTTTCGTTTTACTTTGTGTTCTAAGGCGAACAGAATTTCTCCTAGATTTTAATAAAGCATTGCACTATTTTGGGAAACAAAAACAAACAAATGAAAGCTATTTTTGGTGAGTCCGTGCACGACAGAACAAATGCAACTGGAATGTTTGTTTCATTTTATGCTGATTTTTTTACGGCGTATACACTCAGCCGTGTCAATATCTACAAAGGTCTTAACTGTCCAAAATATTTGACCAGAAAGAATAGATGAAGTGCATGGGTATTCCCCGCCCACAACATGAAATTCAACGAGTCTCATCAATCGAATAACACATTGTACGTACCCCTAGGAGCCGCGTTATCCGAACAGGATTTGAGAAAACTCTCAAATAACACTGCATGTGTGTGTCGACGATAGTCATTTCATGACGATCAGACGGAATCCGGCTTGTTTTGAGGCACGTCTTGAAGAGAGCTGCTTTTAATTGCACAGCACCAAAGCAAATGAACGAACGTGTCTATTCCATCCCCGGACATCGCATCCGACACTATCAGCTTTTTTTTCGTGAAAACCGGGGAACATAGCCGGGAAGGCTTTTCGGAGATTATCTCAACGGAAATAATCCTCGAAGAACGTCGAACGGCCCGCGTCGCGGGCTGCTTGACGTTCGCTCTCTTCGGTCGTTTCCTGCGAAGACCGAGCAGGCAACGAGTCCTGCTAGGGTGCCTACATGTTTCCAGGCATGTAGGCACCCTAAGTCCTGCTATTCCCTGGTTCTCACAGGGTAAGATACAAAAGGGTAGGCCTCCATGGCCAAATGAGGCAACACTGGGACGGCTAAAATCGGCAGCGGCGCCGGCGTACCCTTGCCAGATTACATTATCACCAACTCCAAGCGTTGTGTTATCGCGCCGACTGTTTTAAGAATCTATCCAACATTAAACATATAAATGTGCATGCGTGTGTGGTTGTCTCCTTTTATCCTTCCTCGATAGGTAGAGAAAACCCCAAAACGGGAGCTAGCAGAACAAAATTGAACGTCCTGATATTACTGCCAAATATAAGTGAAAGCAAACAGACAAGGGCAGTTTCCTTCTTTTCTTTTACGTTGTTTGCGCCCGCTTTAGGATAACAAAAAAAAAAGACTCCCACGTGAAAATCAGTCCGCTTCCAGCTGGATTATGGAACTGGAAATGAGGCAGTCCAGCAGGATTCCAGCTGGATTCCAGCTGGACCCAGCTGGAATCCAGCTGGACTGCCTCATTTCCAGTTCATAATCCAGCTGGAAATGAACCGATTTTCGCCTGGGCTTCGCCCAGGTTCCCTCCTCTATTTTTTCCGAGGGTAAAAGGCCCTAAACCCTCTTTCCTTCCGCAGTTCCTCTACCATCTCCCTCACATCGCCCACAAAGCCAAAAGGAACAACGCCATATTGGCTATAGATAGCGACGAAACTGCCGAACCTTCGAAACAACCGAAATTTCGTCCAAAAAGTTTCGGAATCCTCCAAAAACCGTCCGAAACCGAACTTCCGGAGTCTCGAATCTGAAGACGTGGGGTTCTGCCGGGCACTGTTAGTATATTAGTCGGGATATGAAGGGACAACCAACACGAGTGACGAGGCACGTTCCGCTGGAACAAAGTGGCGTCATTCAGTTCAGTCTTTCGTTGCGTGCCGCCCTGTTTGCTTTCTAAAACTTGCACCATCCTGCAGTCGGCGCTTCAAGGAATGTCTCGACTTGTTGGAAGCACGAGGCATCTAGGAACCAGTAGCGACCCTTTGATGCGGTGGACCCTTCGTTCGATGTACCTGCTGCACCGGTGCAGAATCGAGCGAGGCACGCGCCGAGCTCCGAACAGGCAGGAGAGGTCGCATCTTGGACACGAAGCACGAGCGGAGTATAGCGTGCACAAAATAAGACAGACGAGTGCACGAGGAGAGAACGCCACGCGGCGACATGAGCATCTGCCACGAAATGTGAGAACGCCGCTCGCTTCTGCTTTTCGGAGATCCTTTTTGCACCCCGTGGAAAGCATCGCGCCAGGATCCCAGGTAGAAACTTCGGTCTACTACACTCGCACGCCTTTCTCGCGACGATACTTGAACAATGAGAGCGATCGCAACTCGGCGGTGTTGTCGGTGTCTCGAACTTCGGCTCGAATGGTCGGACGCGTCCCGAGGATTTGATAATTGATATCTTGAAGTGAAAGCAAGTAGGCAGGGGAGCTGGTTAACGATAGACACGGTGAACCTCGAGCGAGGGGGCAAAAAGAGGACGGACAGACACGAAACTCCGATTTAAAGGAGCTATGCAACAATTTTCGTACTTTGCGCAAATACCGCTTAAAACGGATCCCTAACGTTAATGACCTATAAACACGCGTTCGTTTTTCTCCCCACGCAATAGAAGTCCCAGAAAAAAATTTAAGAAAAACGAGCAGCGTTCACCCCCTCAACTCGCAGCCAGAACAAGCGGCCCCGTGATCTGGAGCCGATTATATGCCGCCAGTGTTGATCATAGCCACGCGCTGGGGTTGGCAAAGCGCAGGACACGCGCTGAGTTCCAGACATTGCTATGGCTCGGCTGTTGTCGTCGCTGCAGCGATTGGACACGGGCCACTACCCGAATGCTTCTCGAGCTAGCAATTATCACGAGCCCAAGTCGAGTGCCCACGCAATGCTCGGGTCCAATCTATGAACCGCATTCAAATATCGTCACTTGGGTGTACTGCGATCCCCGAGTTACGTCATCAAATTTTGCAAAGGAGAGATTGAATGAAAATGATCGCTTTTGTCCTTGAAATTACACCGCAACAAAGGAGTTTCTTGGCCAGTGGTGTTGCGTGTGAGTATCCTTGAGTCCCAGGTGTGCCAGTAAGCTCGTGTCAAGTGAAAAACATTCCAATTGAATATCGTTGCACAGCTCCTTTAAGGAAGTGGTCTGGAAAATAAATCTTTAGCTGCGTTCTGTGTTTCGTGTTTGTCCGCCCTTTTTTGTCCTCTCGCTGCAGGGTTACCGTGTCTCTCTTTGGTATCTTGTAGCCAAACAAATTATTTCTGAAACCCAGGCGAAACAATGAACCGTCTATCGGCCAAAATAAATTAGAATAGCGCGCGTTAGCTTTGTGTATTGGAAGCCAGGAAGAATGCCTCCAGCCCGCAGGTGGTGCCGCTGGACTTTCTCCTTCCATAAAGTATGAAAAGAAAGTCCAGTGGCTGTGATAGATCAGTACAGCCCAATGCAGCTAACCAAGTTTCCACAAATCGACAAAAAATAGTTTCGCATCCTGGAACTCATCGTGAAATTGAAGCTATTAGCGACGTGTGCTCACAGTTGGCGATTATCCGAATCACAGCTTTCTGGATTAGGATGATGTCTGCCCAATCGCCGGTTCACGGAGAGCCAAATTCTACCAATCACGGCGAGGCAGAGGCGATCCCTGCCAATCAGGGCGAGGCAAATTCTGGTCGTGACGTCACGAAAGGAAACCTAGAGAGGGCGCCACGGAAACATCTCGGCGCTAATAGAGGGTGGATTTGTTGGCGGAAATATATAAGAAAAAAAATCGTTTTAGTCAAAAGTTACCGCTAAAATACGAGTTTTTTCAATGACTGAATAGAATTAAGCCTTTTTAAAGTCAAAGCGAAAAAGAAGAAAAAAAAAAAAAGAAGAAGAAGAAAGAAAACGTTGTTGCAAACCAGAAAACGTTTAATTTAACGAATACAAAAAAAAAAATAAAAATAAAAAAGTTGTAACTTTGTTCTTATTTTTCTTTCTTTGCCCTATCAACCTTCAAGCGGTCCACGAGAAATTTTTATTAGCTTAGCTCGAAATCGTCGGCAAATACAGTTTTTTTCTTAGTAACTTTCGTTCGAGGCGGTTGTTTACTTGCACATCCTCGCGTAACAAATCCAGCAGCAAGCCTGACATTCGTAGTGTGGAAAACTTCCCCGCATTGGATCCATTGGCCCCAGGCTGGAGGCAGTGTCCTTTGGGATGTTTCCCCCGTGGAGCGAGGCCAAGAAGAGCGAGCAGGGCCTGGCCTCGGCGCCCCTCCCTGAGCCCCGACGTCCGTGCCTCGTGTGCCAGATGCGCTTTGCCGCTGCCAACCGACTGCCCCAGCCATCCAGGTACCTACTCTGCGCACCCGCACCTACCTGGGCTCACAGAAACGGAAGTACCGACCCGTGGCGTGGCGTAGCCGGGGCTTAGGGGACGTGAGCCCTCCCCGCGAAACATTTCCACACCACTGGTCCAGCTCCCGGGGGGGTTCAGAGAAGTCTTCACGTGGCGAATTTCAGGATTGGCGGTAAAGCGTTACAAGGAACGGCGTTACCGGTAACGCGTTACTTCTTTCGGTAACCTACTCATTCCATTCTCAAAACAGTAACGGATAACGTACTTACGTTACCTCTTTCCAGTAACGGGTAGCGTAGGTATACGTTACACCTACTTCCCGAGGCCTGAAAAAAGTACACTTTTTTTCCGACAAAAATGGCGTAGGCCCGTGCGGCTCCCGGAAAGTGCGTATTTGGTGACGTGGCGCTGATTCCTTGCGCCTTTTGGGAGCGCATAAGAACGTTGGATGTACTTTTTCTCAACGCGCAGCAAAACGCGCTGTGACGTGTTGCTCTCCCGGCCAATCGGTGGAGGGTTCCGCGTTCCTTGGCCGTCTGGCGCAGATGCTCTCCACTCGGCCGAACGCACACCGTCCTTACTAAGGCCCATAGTTGGGACTCAGCACACGGCCTGCGCGCGCACAGAAACGCGTTGGGTTTCGCGGCGTCGCCGTAGGCCTCGGCGTAACCGCGCTAAATTTAGCGGAAAAATTGACGTCGCGACCTCAACACCAATTCTGTTTCCCCGCTAAATTTAGCGGGCAAAATGACGTCACATGAGTCAGTGTCACATCACCCATGAATAAATTCACTTCCCCGTTAAATTTAGCGGGGAAATTGACGTCACGTGACCTCAACAGCAATTCAGTTCCCGGCTAAATTTGAGGTCGCGTCAATTTTTCAGCTAAATTTAATTGGGAAACTGTGGGAGGAGGGGAGGGTAAGGCGAAGGAGGAGGAAAGGAAGAGGAGAAATGGAGGGGAGGACGAGGAGCAGGGAATGAGGACGGGAGGAGGAGGGGCATGCATACCCTCCCTCCTTCCTCCTCAGGAGCTGCGCTCTAATTTCGAGTTAGAGATTTGTAAACGTCTCTCTTCTATTTTTTCCGTGTTTCTACTTCGGTTTATTTTAAGTCGAGACGAAGCCGACGCTACCAGGGGACCAATCAGACAGCGTGAAATCACGGGGTTCCTCGTGTTTCTGCACCTGTGCTATCATTGCTGAACCAATCACAAACAAGAAAGGCCCTGTGACTCGCGCTCTTCACGCTGCTCCTGGGAGAAAAAAAAAAACAACGTATCACAGCCACGTGACTACCGCCAACTCTCTCCTCCTCTATATTTCTTCTTCCTCCCCACTGCAGTTTCGGTTTTAGTTTCAAGCAGCTATGTTTTTTTTTTTTTTTTGCTTCATTAAATATATACGTGACTGCAGCAAAATATTGATTGGGTAGTCTCCTAAGGTTATATTAAATCGTCTGGCAAAAAACAAACAAACAAACAAACAGTTTTGGGGGGGGGGGGGGGGGGGGCGTCAATGTCTACCGAGCCCAAGCAAAACAGAAAAAGAAAAGGTAAAAAAAAAAAAAAAAAACTCTCTCCATAACTGAAGCCTATTTATTGATATTTTGTGTATATCTGAAGATTGTATCGAGTATCTCTTGGCTCGGTGGCACGGTCGTAAGCAGTGGCAAGTGTATGAACCAGGTGTCGGTTGTTGCGAGGATTGTGACCGGGGCTTTATGCTTTTCATATTGTTGTTTACGTTACGCAAGGTTTCCTTACTCTGCCTTCGTGTGTGCCACGCTGAGTGATGTGCTGGGGGGGGGGGGGGGGGGGGGGGTCGACGCCTTGTCAGACATTTTTAATTGCCTTTTGCGACGGCCTCCTCGACAACTGTTTGATGTAGTCTGAATAAAAACACTGAATTGAGATGGGTTGGTCTCCTCGGAGGTGCCTCCTGTGCAAGGCGGCCGTGACGCAGTCCGAGATGATCGAGCACATCAAGGAGATGCACCTGAGGCTGCACCGCTGCGGCCACTGCGACCGGGCCTTCGGGTCCCCGGAACAGCTGGAGGGACACGTGCGGGAGAGCCACCCCCTGCAGCAACCCGCCCCGCCGGCCGAGCACGGAGGGACCCGCTGGACGTGCGAGTACTGCCGCAGGGCCTTCACGTACGAGGCCGTCTGGAGACTCCACCTGGGCATCCACTCGGGGCCCCAGCCGTACTTCTGCGTCCGCTGCAAGAGGAGGATGGCGACGCAGGGAGAGCTGGACGCCCACCTCAGGGAGTGTGGCCCCGCCGCCAGGAGGACCGCCCCGACGCCCTCGAGGAACGCCAGGACTCGCAACGCTCCATATGCGCACCAGAATCCAGTGGTCGCAGGTGAGGCCATTCTTTCCCGATTTCATAGAGTTTTTTTTTAGATTCTGCTCCTCACTGGAATCAATATGCACAAAATCTCGCTACGTTTACAACGAAACGTTGGCGCTTATTTCTTGGTACATTGGTGTTCGAGGGAGCAGTATCGCATCAGACCCATCAGACACGCCAATCTCTCGTTGAAAAAGACACGAAAAGAAATTTTTAAAACGAAATAAACGATTACGGCAAAGAACACCTGGTGGATGTCGCTAAAGCCTCGTTTGTAATGCCCGTCTAGAAATCTTGACAGGTAGGCCCGTTCACACTCTTGCGACCTCTTAAACCTAGGTTCCTTAAAACTTCTTAAACCAGAGAATACACTGGCGCCATCCATTGGGAAGCAGTGTAAACTCGGCGGTCCGGCATATTTTTTTTTTATTTCTCGCGCATTATCCTTTCTTTCTTGGCTCGAAAAACTTTTGTCAATGTTATAAACGAGCCTTTCTAGGGTTATTATGCACATTTGACCTCGGAAATCCCGCAAAACCTTCGCTCTTGTGAAATGCAGTTCCAGGGTCACCGCATAGATGGCGCCACAATACCAGTGTGTTCCCTCATTCTAAAAACATTTAAGAAGTTTTAAGAGATCCTCGTCTCTCTCAGTCGTACTCGGTCGTACTCGGTCGCAAGAGTGTGAACGGGCGGCTTGAACCTGACGTCATCCCGCCAGCTCTCCGGCCACCACCAGAGAAATCACCGGGACTCCCTTTTGTGTGCCCCAGACGTCGCCATTGTTCCTCTACAAGATTAGAGAAGATTAACACGTCACTCAAAATTCGTACAAAAGCAGCTTTGGTGTTAGTTGCGGTGGCCCGATCGTTGGGGTACTTCGGCTGTTTCGGCTGCTTCGGCGGATGGAACGGCTAAGTATAACAGGGGTCTCAAACACACGGCCCGCGACTTGCTGGGACGCGGCCCGCAGGCAACCGGCTACGAGTCCCGGTTCTTATGTCTCGAGCGCTAGAAATGGCTCGCGCCATAGTGATCTCATCTCGTGGATTCATTTTCACTCGAAAAGTAGCTCCGCTCTTTTAACGTATTCACATAGTTTATACTTACCTCTGTTCATTTGACCTTTGTTTCGCTTTATGTTTTGCTTCCCAGTTTTTTGTATGCTACAACAATTCCGCTACTAGGCTGCAAGCGCAAACTATGCGTTGAAAAATGCATCTCGACTGCGCGAACTCTCGATCAGCAGGATCAGCTACCAAAGCTAAAGCAACAAGCCCTAAATTCTCACCTTTAAAACATAATGATTAAAAGACAAGTATTTGTTTAGAGTGTTGCAATAAATATTGTCATGAAAGCAAGAACTATCATATTAACTCATTGTTTCTTAGAGGCATGTTGAGCTTGATTCATTCCTGAGTGAACTGAGCAGCGGGAAAGACAGTGTACTCAGCTCTCTTGTTCTATTAAAATGCCAGCACGTTGGCCCGTGCGGTGTCATTTTAATTCTTATTACTACATCGGGTCAGGGCCCAAAGTAGTCGTAAAAACAAATCAAATCTAAAGACGTCACTGGCCAAACTCTGTTTAGAGAAAGCATTGAGCACGAGGTCTCTTCACTTTAAGATCTCCTAAGTCCCCTCTCTTACGTTGGCCCTCAACCTTTTGGGTGTGGGTTACGTGGCCCCTACGCTCACACGAGCTTGAGTCCACTGGGCGAGGACATCTCGTCGACGCGAACCTCGCCGCAACTTTGCTCGCCCCGAGACAATCTGCGTCACGATTCCGCCGGATGTGACGTGCTCTTTGCTGGCTTCTCTCCGAGCGATTGCCAGAGTGGACCGTTTATAACGAAAAATACGGCCGTCATGCTCAAAACAGAAAATTCATTTACGGATATTGTAGATCATATTCGGCCTATTTGTGAACACAACGGGTATATCTCCAATTTCGTCGAGGTATCCCTTCAAATAAGTTCTAAAACAAAACGAGTTCACCCCGTACCCCGAAATCGCACGACCTTAACCGGTTTCATGTTGTTTCTTAACACAGCATATGGTCGATGTAGAAACACAAAATCAGAACCCCCCCCCCCCCTCCCTCCCTCCCCTTTCTTTTACAACAAAAAAATTATTATGCGCTTGCACAGGACGCGTATGGCAGACAATGTACCCCCCCCCCCCCCCCCCCCTTCCCCCCTAAAAAGAAAGAAATAAAAATTGTAGCGCATTATTTACTCGGGAGACGTATTTTCAGCTGGGAAAGGTTCCGAAGCCTGTTTGCATATTTCGCACGTCGGCCCCGAAAGAAAAGCGGAATACCACCAATGAGTTTCGCGACATAAATATTGCGCCACAATTAATTTTATTATTAATTTTTTTTTAATGAAGACGCTTTATTTCGAGTTTCTGGGTGAAAGGAGAAAATTAGTGAGCGCGATAAGCCCCTTGAACACTCACCGGTCCGAGTCCGATTTCTCATCCAGACGCACAGGGGCGGGTGCTGACGCACAGATAAGTGATCCGTGGTCGTGAGGTCGCACGGTAATTAAGACACTTTGTTTTCATCACTCTGATTGGCATAACCGATTCAAACGAGTCCAGAGATTGGTGTTCTTGTGCTAACTGAGGGGGGATTATGAACCCAGCGATTGCATGGTCCCGATCGGTGTTGCGACATCGTGCAAAGGCCGATATTTTCTGCTGCCTGGGATCTAAAAGCCATACGAATCTTCTTTTCCTTTTCACGTGCGCTGTCCAGGTGTCGCTAATATTTTTTGTTCCGTCCGACAGCGGCGTCCGAGGAGGCTCCTCCAGGCAACGGAGCGGCGGCGGCAGCCCGGCCGGCGGAGTTGGCTTGCCCTCTGTGCTCGAAGCGCTACAAGAAGAAGAAATACTTGACCAATCACATCGCGGCCCACAGTGCGGGCAAGAGATACTGCTGCGAGCGCTGCGGAAGGGCATACCTCTTCAAGGGCTTCATGCTCAAGCACATGCTTGCGGTGCACAACATGCCGCCCAAAGCGACCACTCGGCCCGCTTCTCACTGAAGCCATCACCCTTCGACGTCTGCGTGCTACACTCGCGCAAGTCCCTGCCTGCACATCGCACCACGATACACCCGGAACACCCATCATCGGTGTTTTCACGGCCGGTGCTGGCCACAGGGCCGGACTGACGAGACTGCGGGACCAGCGAGGCGCGATACCAGCGCCCTGCTGCTTGGCTCATTCAAGGAGCAATCGGATTGCCGAGAATGCTTCGCGAGAGCTTCTCAGGGCGTTTACATCTTCCTTTCAACGGCTGCCTTTCCGCGAGAGTTGTTCGCTTTTTGAAGGCAGAGTTTGCTCACACACGTGAAAGGATAACTTGTTCACCTCTCCCTCCGTGAAGATCACTCGAAACAAAATGTCCGCGAGGCTTCTTTCTCGCGTGCAGGGCGCAGAGATGACTCATTATTGGGGTGAACATCAGAACGCCTAAAACAAACAACTTTGCAAAGAGAACAAAAAACAAATTATTTTGCGAAGGAATAATGATCAGACAAAACATCACGCTCGTTCTTTCTGGACGTTTTTCAGTGAAGCAGCCTTTAATTTCATGTTCCTCCGTTTTGCCTTATTCATGCGAGTTCCTCATATTCTACTAACTCTACTAACGTTTTTTTTTCTTCGTGGCAAGGCTTGTGCCCGTTTTGTTTGAAGTCTCATTGCGGTGTCTTGCTTCAACGATCTCTCTTGTGTGTGGTTGTGTGTGTTTTTTTTGCGTTTTGCATGAGCACGTTTGTTGTGATGAAAGCGTTCTGCCACTTCTGTTTCCTTGGACTGCTGCTCAATTTCCTTCTTTGCCCCGGAAGACACGAGTTGGGTTTCTAGCCTCTGTCCTCCCGAAGCATGAACGGAGCCGAAAGTTGCGTGGGACTGGGGCAAAATTAAGGGGGATGCCGCGCCCACAAAGGACGATGTTCCGCTCCAGGCTAATGTTCGGTAACACATTTAGCATTTAATTATTATTATTTTTTATTTTTTTGCGTGTTAGTTTGGGAAAGAAAGGACGCTGACGGAGGTTTCTTTCTTTCTGAGAGAAAACTGGGATTTTGTTACCGAGTAAAGTGTGGACGCCATTGCTCTCTCATGGATGTTGCAGCGACTCGAAAAACGCGAGGTCAGGCAGCATTGCTCGTTTTTGCTTTGGCCGCTATAGTAACGCAAGCGCGGGAAGGTAACGCACGTCATGCGTTACGCGGTTGATTAGAATATTTCACTTTCTACCAAAATCAACGTTGCCGAAAAGCAGGGGCAAAAGCTGTCAGATGCAGTTTGAATCGCCCCAGATATACCTTTTACTGGTCCACTCAGACTCAGTATTAATCAAGCTTCCGGCTTTAAAAAAAAAATGAAAACGCGACTATCCGCTTCATTTGTACCCTCTCCTGCGCGCACGTTGCATAGTGATGTACTCGGAGCAGCACTTCTTTTCGAGAAGCGGTATTTTTCGCCCTCAGCCTGCGAAGAAAGGAAAACTGTACAGCACGGATTGCTCAGTATCAGGCGGATTCAGACCGTCGTTGCTGCTGCGCGGACTACGACGCAACTGTGTAAATACGCATTTGCGTTGAGTGCAACCGAGTGCGACTGCGACGGCTTGCGACGTTAATCCTTTTACGGGTTGCTATGGCAAAGGGGCGTTTGCTTAAAACCCCCGTCGCCATAGCAACCCGTAAAAGGATTAACGTCGCAAGCAGCCGCACTCGGTCGGACTCAGGCAAGCGCGTGAATCGCCCCTTATTCTCATAGCCGCTGTGGGTGACGTCGTGGACGTCACTGACGACCGCCACCAGTGCTCGGGGATCCGAGGTACGTGGGCAGGCCCCGTGCAATTATCGAAAACCATCGGTTACACGCAGCAACTGGATTCCGCCAAAGTGAGACTTCGTATGCAGGGCGGTTCCCACACTTGCGTCCAGTCCGACCGAGTGAAACTGCAACACGTTGCTATGGCAACACTTACGAGGAGCCAATGGGGAGGCGCGGTGCCGCACGACGCAACGCAGCGCGACGCGATCGACGCAAATGTGTGAGCCAGACTTAAACAAAATACGTTTCTGAGGTCGTCTGTTCTTTCTGAGAACTCATTTGCCTCCGCTGGATTCTATGCTTCAGATTTTTCCGATCGGAAAGGGGCGTGCCACTAACATGTATCACATTTTTAGTAGGGGCGTCGCACAAGCGTAATTTTTGAATAGACCGATCTCACCAGCCAGTTTGACTACGCCACCGCTGCCGCAAAGCATCGAGGGAACTAGTCTTTCTGCGCGTGCGACAACCTCGCTGGAGCTCTGCGCGTGCAGGCCACGAACAGTCTCGTGCACTGCCGATTGCCTCCTGTGAACTAAAGTTATGGCTGCCTCGCGCATGCGTCGAACGCTTGGTGAGATCGGTCTATTTCTCATGGCGAATTCGCGTGGTTCTTTCTGCGCGCTCTCGAGCGCTCTTTCCAGAGCGCGCTTAATCGGGTGGTTGAAAGAGAGTGCTGTGGCCTGATCGGGTGGTTCATTCGGAGGACGCCTCTCCCTCTCAGAGCGCTCTCTGGCACTCCGTCTGTAGCCGTCGGAGTGCGGAGCGGCGCAGGCGTCACGTGGTAGCTGGACGGGGATCACGTGGTTTTGTTGACGATGGCCGGCAGTGGTCTGTGGTGCTGTGCGGGGTCCGGCATGACGGTGATTGATGTGTGCTTCTACAAAGAGTGTGTGCATACGACGGTGCGAGGATTACAACGGACGGGACGACATTCGTTTGCGACCGTAACAGGAAAAGCCGACGTGCGAGCTGTTCCCAGTGCCTTCACAAGATCGTTCATCTCACGGCGGTGAATCCGCTAAGCCTAACCGACGACGAAACAGCTCGCAGAGCTCGCCGCTGTTTTACCGGATTTTGTAGTCGCTTCAAGAAATTTTTGAGGTTTGGTAAAAGTGCGTTCAAAGGTTTGTGTTGTAAAATAAAGGGAGAGCCGAATATAATGCACTGTGATTTGTGTCACATTGCGATGCTTGCACGATATTTCGCCGTGAGAAAAGTGCGGTTTATTAACCATTTTATATTCGCCTGCTCAGTCGTACGCATGACCGCTATTGCAGCGCGTTCACTGTTGAAAACGCGATGAGTTGACAACTGTTTCCAAGCGCTGGCTTTCGTTCCGTTCTGCAAAAATCAATTCGCATACTGTTGTTTTTTTGTTTTGTTTTTTTTAGATGCCGATGAGTAAAACAATTCACGTCAAAACCGTTATTTCATCACGTTGCGAGCGTAAATTTTGCTGAATCGTCCACCGTACGCTGTAAGATGGTGTTGTTTTTAATGCATTCCCAATGTCCCGAAATTTAATTCCGTGACTGGTCTGAGAATGTCAGAGCGCTCTGAACCCAGCAGTTGTGATCGGCTGAAAAGGATCCCGAGTAGCTCTGGCGGCGAGGAGGGGGCGCTCTGCTGAATCGAGGTCAGAGGAGAGAGGCGACCACCCGAATTCACCCAGATGCTTGGAGCCCGTAAGATAAGCTATTACCAAGAACAGACTATCTCAGAAACGTCTTTCGTGCACCTTTAACGCGAGCAATGTTTGAAAACACGTCTTTCAAGCAGACGACACGAAGATTCGTCCCGCAATTTTTGGCGGGACACCAGGGCTGACTTCTTCGCTCTCTTCGCGCGGCCAACGGGAAGTCCCGACCTCCCTCTCCTCGCGCCAACTGGGGACTAAAGGATTTTTCTATTCTCCGCGCGAGCGGCGACGGCAGCTTCAAAATAAATGCAGTGTCGAAAACAGGTTGCTGTAGTACTGATCCCTGTCTAAGGGAAAATATAGGAATAGAGTACAGTGTTGGATATACTTAGGTTAATAATTACTCGTAGTAATTAACTTTGCAAACGAGCCATTTTAAGGTATTTCATTTAGAAGAATGGTGGGAGTCATCGAAAATTATTAAACCACTCACACTATGAAGGTATAAGGCATGCGTACAAGTTTAAGGCGCTCCGAAAAACACCCAGGCTGTGTTCCAAAATTTACTCGATCCGACTCCGGAGTAAACGTTTCGTACCGTGGCGTTCCAAAACTTACTCGAGCTTACTCGATGACGTCAGAACTCGCGTTCCAGAAGCGGGTTGTTTACTCCGGATAAATTACTCGCGCTACCCTCCTCGATCGGGGGGTAAAGTCCGATCAAATCGAGTAAATACGTCACGTGATCTGTTCGTCGTCTGCTTTCTGCGCTGACAGCCGTCAAAGCTCGCTTGCTCCGTTGGTTTTGGTGGCGGACGTTCGAAATGACAAAGAAATAGGTGCAGCATGTGTGGTTATTTCGATTTGCTGATGTCAACGCAGGAATTGACTGCATTACATCCAGACCATCCACCTTCCCCGGGAACGTTTACTTGTTATTATCTGAGTGCGAGCGTAAACAGGAGCTTCTCCGCATCCTCGTCCTCGGCGTTGGGGGAATGCCGTATTCTCACGTCCAAGGCCGAAAATGTTTGAACTCGGTATATGATAATGTAGTATTTTTGTTTTCTCCAGACTACGTGTAATGAGAGGATAACGTTTGTAAAGCAGTGAAGGCTTCGAAAATTTCACTGTAATCACATTCGCGTCAAAGCGAACGTGAGTTTCATATCATTCTGGAGAAAGCACCCTCGCGCTGCACCGCTACACCGTGTGGAATATATTCCTGCAAAACATAATCGGTGCAAATTACAATGCGTGGAATATATGCGTTTAGGGCACCGTGACTAGAATTGCCGCGATCGCGCTGATTAATAAAAGCACATTTTTTTATGTCTAGCTGTAAGGAGTAAGTAATTTTGATCTCAATATACAGCTCAAAACGAAGGTGAGTAAAAGGAGCTGGTGGATCCACCTCAAAAAACACCGCGTCGTCATTAACATTGCCGTTCTTCGGGTGCTTTCTCCGCGATCAAAAGGATCGCCTGCTATTTTCTGCCATCGCTGCTGTGTTTTCTTTTTGCCGTCGCCCAAGACGAAGCCAATCCGCGTAGTATCCAGGTGATTATCCTGGCCGTTCCAAAATCGAGTCGCGGATCGTTTACTCGCGATGTCACGTGGTATTACCCGCTGACGTAGGTGGCAGGTTACTCGGGTAAGATTTGGAACATAGCCCCAGTTTGGACGCGTTTTGAAAAAAAAAAATGGGGGGGGGGGGGGGGGGGGGGGCGACTTAGGAGGCAACGTTAAGAGCTAGGCAAATATATAACTAATGTAGGGACATCTAGCGGGACTTTTTACACCTACGATAGAGCTTTCTGCACCCAACGATAGAACATTCCTATTTGGAGCCGATGTCTTACGGCGAGACAGACAAGCTGAATTTGAGCGAAGGTTTGTTGTCGTTTTAATGCGAAAGTATTATCTGTCCCATGGAGCGAGCCGATGTCATCAGTGCCGCGCCAAACGGCAAATAAATTCCTCTTTCCAAGTGAAGCCGAAATCTGATGGGGTTCCCGTTGGCTGGCACGCGTCATAGTTTCGAGGAACGATCGATGCTCCGATTGGCCGAGGCGCGTCAGTTTCAAGGAAAGTCACCCCATGGCGCTGCGTGCCCGCGCCAGAGCGCGCCGGGAAAAGGAAGCGCTTGGCTGGCGGTGCCTCCGACAGAGAGACCGCTCGAGCATACTCTGGAGTGAGGCCCGGTCACTTCACGAGAACGCGCGCAAGAATGACATTCATACTTT